ACAGGACAGAGCAGAGTTTAGGGCTGTTATACATAGGGTCGTCATGAGTCAAAAGCAACTCGACGGCGCATAACAACAACAACAACAACAGTATCTCTGGTAAGATGCAAACTTCTTGGCTAGCAGCTGAGGGTGTTAACCTTTTGTACCATCCAAGGCTTGTATGGATACAGAAGGACGGAATCCACAGCATCAAATGGTTCAAGACTGAGTGGTTGTTTAATCTAGTCACTAGCCCACTGCAGAGTAGGGACCCCTGTCTTAAAGCCTGTGGCAGTGGAGCTCTGTGAGGTGGTCTGCACCATTGCAGGCATATATGATGATGATATTTAAGAGAAAGAATGTAACATCCTTCCATTGATCTTAATCTGTTTTGAGGAGCCACTTTTATGTTTCTTAAAATATTTTTATATACAATGCATGCCTTTTCCATGCTGTTTTTTCCCCCAAAAAACTAAGTGCTGCCAAATTCTGTTAGCATTTCTTCATAGAATTTGATCTCCAAACTAGCTTTCTTTGGTTATTTACCTTTGAATATATTCTTGTCCAATGGTGTTCAGCCATAGTACACTGGTATATTGTGAACTTTCTACATGCTTGCTGCCAAATGCCTATCAAAGTAGATTAAGTTTATTTTAGTCATGCCTGAGTTAGTAATTTCTATTACCAGGAGCAATAAGAAGAGGGAGCCATGAACTCGGACATGGGTCAAAGTACAGCTGGTGGCCATATTGAAAAGAACATGTGGGTCCTGTGCTAAAGGGGATGTGAGAGATTGGACTAGAAAAGTTAATAGGGTTAGTTATATTCTGAGCCATTGCTCAAAGGGACATAAACAGAGGATAGGCATAGATGACTTTTAGATACCAAGGCAGCAACTGCATTGTCATTTTTGCTAACTTGCCTTGGAGAACATTCTGAGTGTTTTCTATTTTTTTCTGTTTCTTTTCTAGCGCACATGGCAAGATTATATATATTTTCTTCTTCTTGAATTTAGACATATCCAAGTTGAGTGAATTTTCTTCTTAAATTCAGACATGTACAAGTTGAATGAATTCTTTCATTTAGATATGTCCAAATACATGTCTGTACTTTTTTTTCTGACTTCTTTTTCTGACATGCCAAACCCTAAGTCCACAAGATGGCAGAGCCTTGGCCAGCGTAGGTCACCAAGCAACTATATTGAGAAGAACCCCCCTGACATTCTGTTTGAATATAGAATGAGTGAGAAATAAATCTTATTGTTCCTGTAGTTGTTAATAGCAGTGTCATGTTCTTACTCTATATCTGAATAATAATGTAAAGATATGTGGAGCTCTGGTGGCCTAGTGGTAAGGAGCTGTGCTGCGATCCCAAAGGCATGCAGTTCAAATCCACCATCTGCTCCATAGGAGAAATATGGGCAATTTTGTTGGGGCCTAGGGCAGCTGCATCTGTCATGAGGGTCAACGACAGCTGGGTCAGTGGCTAGAAGCCTGCACCATTCACCTGTTGTCGCAATGAATTTACCCCTCAATCCCAAACCATTTCTGAATGGATTAACAGGAAAGCTAATGATGGTGAACCTTAAGTGGGGAATGGAGTACAAGGGCTACCTCATATCTGTAGATGGCTGTATGAACATGAAACTCGCCAATATAGAAGAATACATAAATGGAGCATTGTCTGGGAGCAGGATTTAGGGCTGCTGTACATAGGCAATTGCTGTGAGTCTCAGGCAACTTGACAGTACATAACAACAAACAAAAACAATAATGTCCTTTATATCAGAGGTGTTTAAGAAGAGGAAGAAGATGGGGAAATAAGAGAATAGCATCTATTGTGGTGAATAGATATATATTTACATATTTATGTTGTTGTTGTTATGTGCCGTCGAGTCGCCTGCGACTCATAGCGACCCTATGTACAACAGCCCTAAACTCCGCTCTGTCC